CCCCAAAACCCCAAAACCCCAAAACCCCATGAGTTCAATCTTCTAATATAAAAAATAACTACTTTTAATTAATTCATAAAATTTATGAAGCTTTATATAATAATTATTTTTTGTGGAGTATTAAATTCCACTAAATCAATTATTATATTATTTCACTAATCCTCCTCATCCTCTTCTTCACCTTCTTCTTCTTCGTCCTCTTCTTCATCCTCCTCTTCTTCTTCCTCTTCAAGAGATTTCTGGAGATATTCAATAAACTTAGCCATCTATTAAGAATTTATTAATATACAAAAAATCTTACATCTTTGATGAATTTTTCTCTCTTGCTTGCATCAATAAAGTCGAATATTTCATCTTATATCTCATCCTCATCGCCTCTATTTTAAATGCTCTTTTGTGCCTATTAGCTCCATTTAATAATGATAAGTGCTTCTAATAGTTCTAATTTGAATATGATCTGCAATATGATATGGAAAGAGTTGTTAAAAAGTTGATTATTAGCACAATAGATTTCAATTGCTCTTACTAAAGTATGCTATACGAAAGTTTTTTCATCAGCCTCAGCTCTCAAGAACTCTAGTAGTAGTTCTTTCCAATCTTTTAAAGTATCTTGCAAGAGTTAGGCTCTCTTTTAGGCATTTTATTCATTTATTTTGTCAAGTAGGGGTGGAATAATAGCCTCAATACAATCTGAGAGATCTTTATTATAAGACATCTTGAGGGATTTAACCTCTGTTACAGCATTTCCTATTTGATCAGGAGTGGTTCTCTCAATAGTCTTTCTTACTTCAATAAGAAAAGCTGAACTTGATTTTTCTTGGTCTTCTTCATCTTGATCTTCAAAGTCACTCTCTTCGTCGTTATTATATAGTTTTCCTGCGCCAATAAGCTCGTCTTCTCTAAGTTAGCATTCTCTGGGCAAATATGAAATATCTCCATCAGCAAAGATTGATGATTTACTTTCTTCAATTTCAACAAACGTCATAGTCTTTGAATCATAGGTATATTTTGAAACCATGGAAGCTGGAGGTATAGTTTAGTCTTCATTTACCACAACTCCATATGAGAGTATTGCTCCTGATCCAACCTTGACATTCTTATTCAAAACCACGTTATCACAGATGATGGCATTTTCAATATGACATCCATCATGAATTTGCACATTATTCCAAATGTAAGAGTTCTTAATGGTCACATTCCTGCCAATTATACACTTTCTTCCAATTGTTGATTTTTCAATTTTACTATCCTCGCTTAACTTAGACTACTTTCCTATTTGAGTATTATTAGATATGGTGGTAGATAGTGCGATCTTAACGTCAGTCTCAAGATACTTATTCAAAAATTGGAATTAATAGTTATTCTTAGGACATAGTAGTTTAGAGTCGAGAACCAATGGATGTATCCATCTAGATAAGATATCTTATGTAACCTCACCATATGTTCTTGGATCTAAAATTCTAGCATAATACCCAGTAACTTCCTATGCCATGATTCTATCCTCAATAATCTCACTTGATTATATTTAGTTGATAAAATCATCATGTAGTGATTCATAGTCGAAATTATCAGTAAAGTAGTTTAATACATCCCTTGAGCATATACTAATCTCAGAGTCTACTAGATCAAATCTGATTTCAAATTGTCTCTAAGCTTATTTTAAAGATATGTATTCTTCATTAATTTTTAGTTACTTATTATGAACAAATGATTCATACTTCAAGATTTCTTTTGTTTGGCTGTCCAAAATCATGGCACATTCCTATTATTTGCTTCTGATTGGATTTGAAAATGGAATCTTAACAAATATTTTGGTCAAAATAAGTTTCTTTTCTTTATCTTCAGCTTTAACTTTATAATGCTCTTTAATAGCATTCTAAATGTTTACATTAGTGATGATGTCACCTCTGGCAAGGATAAAATCACTTTTGATAGTTTAAAGCTAGTTTATCTCTCTTAAGGCATCTCCGAAATTTGAACTGCTCTCAAGAGTTATAACATTGATCTTTACCCCTTTGTAATTTTAGGTTTTCAAAAACTTATCAATCTAGCTTCTGTGAATACAAACAGCTATGTAAATTTCTGTCACTTAGTTCATCAAAAGAAATTCAATGACATAATGCAGAATAGGAACGTTAGCTACAGGGAAAAGGCACTTTAGTCTTTCATGTGAAACTGGCTTGAATTTATTTTGAAAGCTTTCAGCTATAATAACAGCTTGAAGGCCGCCTTTAATAGCTTCATCATAGCTAGTAATCTTAAAGCATCATTAAAGATATATAAAATAATACCTCTTGAGTAGTCATTTTTAATTTAAGTATTTATTAATATATATATTAATGAAATTAAAGTTATAAGGTTATATTGATCAATCAAATTTATTCTTTTACTATTTTGTAGTGTTTTGATCAACAAATGGCATATTGCCGTTGATGTCAAAATTATTATTTTAAGAAGACTTATCATCAAACACATATTAATTGATATGTGAGTTGCTAGATCCTGTGTAAACTGAATGAGATTTTCTATCTCTGTTTTGTTAATCCTACTTTTGCTGTAATTAAGATGACAAAATATCAGCGAAGTCTGTGCCTATTTGTTTATCGACTTATTTTTTAACCCTTGGCCATATTGTATTTGTAAGTTTAGTGATTGGAATTGATAGAGGTCTCTTGTTTGGCAAACAATATTTGTCAAATCTCTTTCCTATAAGATCTTCTATCATTTCTCTCAGCTTTGGTATATATTTGATAGAAAATCTATTATCCTTCCCAATGACTGGATCAAGATTAAATTTAATGACAGGCTTTCCTACAAATCCGTACCAACAACCTTTAGTCTTATCATTTGAATAAAAGACTCTTATTTTCCCATTAATACTCTTTAGAATGATATTAACAGTCAAAGGAATTTTGTAGAAATTTGACTATCCCCAATCGATGTTAATTTCTGTTTTTATGAGGACTTCTACAGTACCCCTCATTGATAAATCAATATCATGAAGGAAATCATCAGGGTGAGAATCGAGTTTTTGGACTCTTTGGAATTCAGGAGCTCTGCCATGAAGAACTACCTTATGAACTTCTATTTCTGAAAGCATTTTAGGCCTTCCTTTATTAGCAATAATGTAAGCTTCTTTAAGAATGAAGTTTTAAAAGACTGGTGATTCCTTCCATTCATTGTAAAAGACATTTAAAGCTCTATTAAACCAAGCAGCTGATTCAATACCAGCATTAGTTTGGATTCCTTCGTTTACAGATTGAGTCTAATCACCATTATTTGATCTCTAACTACTATAGTTATTGAATATATTAATTTGTTTCCCAAAGTTGAAGCTAAAATTTTGCTTTTACATATGTGGCTGCATTATCACATTTTTTTATGGATTAAAATCTATAGTTTGATTTTTTTACTCCTCATTTGCACTCATAGATCGACCTCTTGAAGAATTTTCGGGTGATATTTTATCTGATGTTTGATTCATTGAGCAAGGTATGTTATGTTCATAATTAGTCAATTCTTCAGTATAAGGCTTTTTCTTATTTGGGCTTATAGTTATGCTTTTCTTTAATGAATCATTTCCCTCTATTTAATTAAAGAAAATGCAATCTTTTCTGTGAGCTATAGCTTCATTGCTCATTTTGGATGCATCTTCATTAGGAATAGCCATTGATTAGTCCTCATTGAACAAATTTTCATCTTCAAAACTTTCACTTTCTAAGTTGAATTGGTTTTCAATTGTATTCATAACATTTCTGAAGAATTGAGAGCTATTCTTACTTCTCTCAAATTAGGCATTCATTAACTCATTCTTCACTTCTAAAAGCTTTTCTTAAATTTATTTTTGAATATTGGTTGTTTAACTTGTTACTTATAGATGCTCCTAGAGTTACTTTTAAGAATTCATATTTATTTGATTGAGCTCATTAAACTTTTATGAAAGTATTTTTTCAAGCTGCTTATGGTCTAATTAACCATTTTTGGAAGTTATTTGATTATTTGATTCTTTAAAGGTAAATTTAGATTTAATATTCTCGTACTATTCTAAATACTATTAGTATTGAGACTTCACTTAGCTACTAACTTACTTATCACCAACTGATTAGTGGGATATAATTTTAATTTAGTTTAAATTCGTCTTCGCCTTATTAATCAATTACTTTATCAAGTTTTGCTTTTGTCTGATCTGCTCGAATATGCTATTTTTTCTTGATTAGCTATTTTGAATAAATATTTCAAGGTTCTGTTAGATTTCTAATAATTTCTATGAAACTTGATCATACTGATGAATGTATGATTTGAAATTTGTAAGGAAATTAGACCATGTTTTAGAAATTATTTCTCCGCTATCCTTTTTAATTTTAAGCTGACGAATTTTCGAAAGTGATGACCGAATGAAACCATTTGATTCTAGCATATTCATAGGCTTATCTGAATTTAAAACTATAGTAGCATCCTCATACTATTCATCAAGAGTCTACTCAAGCTGTTGTTTATACTTAATGATATTGCTATTCATGTTCTTTATAAAATGAAGAAGATCCTTTGAACCTTGAATACCTTATTGAATATTTCTTATTTCTATATTTGCTGAGTTATATTAGCTGGAATAGTCTTTTTCTAGCTATTAAATATTTATTTCTTTATATTGCTAAGGTTGAAGACCGTCCAATGAAGTTCTAGGAGAATGAATTGGACTAAACTTGAACTCTTGCTTAAATTCTTCATCATAATTATATATTCCGTTTTCATTCATACTTTCAATCAGTTAATTGTCAAAATCTTTCCCTCTTCTATTAAACTTTATGTTTCTTTAAGGTGAAAACTGATGGCTTAAAGGTAATTTCTGTAGTTGAAGGCTGTCAACATCTGGATTGTAAAAGTCAAAGTTTTCCTCATGAAATTGATCTTCCTCTTTATCAGTATCTTCGTCTTTCATATCATTCTAAGAATCTCCTTTTAACTAATATCTATTATACTCTTTAATCAGATCTCTAGGTCCAATAAACTATGAATTTTAGCTTTATTAACTATCTTTCCTTTATCTACTTGGGGGATTAGTTGCTGGATCATCATTACCATTATAGTCAAGAATACCTTTTACCTCTTCTCTTTTGATAATCATTGACCTTTTTCTCTTCCTATCAAATATCGTTTCCTCTTCAATTTCATTTGGATATGCCTGATCAATACTATCTGACTAATTGAGAATGACACTTTATTTTTATATGGAACTTCTAGAATGAATAGTTTCATTACTCACTCTTTAATTATTTTAACTGTTCTTCAAGCACTCATCAAAGTATAGCTGAATTTAGCACTCAAATTCATGATAAGTATCTACTATACTCATCAGAGAACTTTTGAATATTTCTGTTTTATTTCTGTCTAGACTCCATAGCTCCTTTATCATACTTTGAGTTTCTTCTTAGAATTTTTCTCTTGTCTCACATAAACTGTCAAGCGCATCACTTACTTAGCTTGCAGCATCTTGCATCTTCTTATATGATAGTTTAAATTTCATCTCTAATTCAAGTTATTTCTAATAATTCTGGATAGATTAACTAGCTTTTGTATAGTTAGAGACACATTCATCCACTATTGATGCTTCTTTGTTATACTCTTACTTAATCTTAAGAAGCTTTTTCTCAGATAATTCAAGTTCCTCACATAGGAGCTAATGCTTTTGCAGAAATTATTTGACTTTATTGTTAACCTGATCTTGAAGCATACCAAAATTAGCTAGCACTCCTTGCTTGTAGAAAATTGAATTTTCAACATGACAGATTCCAATCTCATTGAAAACCTTGCGAATCAGCCTCCATTTGCAAAATGAAAATGAATTTTTAATTGCGAACTTTGGTGAATTAAACTAGACGAAATCATCGAAACTAGAATCCTTAAATAAAACTAGTTCGTTGAATTAACCGATAATTTGAATGGCTGGATGCCCCAATCTTGAGAGATTCCTTCCATGAAGCTATTCATTTTTAATCATTGATCCATAGAAGACTTCAATTTAGCCCAAGAATTTAATGATTTTTTAAGATTTGGCTTTAATTACAACTTTAAAATTATCTTTTTCAATTCTACACTAGCAGGACCCTCTTCTTTATTCCAATCTTTCTGATAGTTTATTAGTGTCAAATGTTTTTCTTATCTATTCTACTCTAAGGTTATTGAACTGGGCTGTACTTAGATTTGTAACTGGATTACTCTGAAGATCTTCGAATAGCTTTGTTGAGTGATGATTTAAAATGAGATTTTACTGTTCTCTAAGTCCATCAACTGACTAATTTTTCTATTATTATGGATGTATTGAAAACCTATTTTATATTTCTTAAACTCCAAAAGATACATAGTCCTTTAGCTGAGGCTCATCGGTAATCTTTTCATCTTGTTGCAATATTTATTCATTATTATTGTCAGCAATCTTTATCAAACTCTTTGTTCGCATATTTTTCACTCCATTACTTATAGGTTTCTAGGTAAAGAATTCAATTTTCTTCATTTAATCCTTTTTATTTTTCTCAACCAGCAAAGGCTTTTCAACAATTTCATCCTCGAAGTTAAAGTAGACATGAAACATCCATAATTATACACCTAGAACAGTGGACATGCCCATAAGAAACATGAAAAGTGCAAGCCCCCCTAGTAAAGAATAGATCAATATTAGTACGGTTGGTGGTATCACAGTTAAGTAGAGAAGTTTTTTAAGGTTGAAATACTTATGAAATAGGCTCACATCTCTATTACTATTATCTCATTATTGCCCTAGAATTGCGCTTTTATTATTCCCTGGTATGCTATTTAGATTTAGCTTGTGAACAGGCGACAAATTTGAATTCTATTGATTATTTTCTAGGGTGTCCATGTTATATTTTTGCTGAAATAATTTTTGAATTGTTCAACTTTAATTAATTCTATTAAACCGTGAATTCCTTTTATATATTATTCAGAGGGGTTTTGGGGTTTTGGGGTTTTGGGGTTTTGGGG